CCGGCCTGGCTCCACCGGCCTGGGGACCTCCAGAGAGAATGAATCTGGGCCGGAAGCCTCTGATCTGGGTGCAGGCCATCCCGGCATGTTCTAGAAGGAGGGAGAGGCAGGGGCTCCGACATTGGAGGCCAGGGTGGTGCAGGGCAGCCCCAGGAACCGGGAGACTCCGGGACAGCGGCTGCCTGCTCTCAGCGCCTCCTCTGCTGTCACCAGCCCTGGCTCCCTCCCCTGGTTGATTTCCAGCTGCTGTTCTCTGCCTGTGGGTGCCCCGGCGCCTGTGGGTGCCCACGCAGGACGCATGAGCCTGCCCTGCCAGCCCGGCGCAAGGATGCCCCCGCTGGGAGGTTCCTGGGGAAGGAGAAGAGGAGGGGGAATGAGAGAAGGTGAGGGAGTAAGGGGTGGGGTGGATGAGAGAAGGTGGGAGGGTGAGGAAGGAGGAAGGAGGGAGGAGGGAGAAGGGAGGAGGGAGGGAGGAGGAGAGGGGAGGGGGGAGGAGGAGGGATGAGGGAGGAAGGAGGAGGGAGGAGGGAGGAGGGAGGAGAGAGGAGGGAGGAGGGAAGAGGGAGAAGGAAGGAGGGAGGAGGGAGAAGGGAGGAGGAGAGGGGAGGGAGGAAGGAGGAGGGAGGAGAGGGGAGGGAGGAGGGAGAAGGGAGAAGGGAGGAGAGGGGAGGGAAGAGGGAGAAGGGAGGAGGGAGGAGGGAAGAGGGAGGAGGGAGGAGGGAGGAGGGAGGAGGAAGGGCCCGGGCAGCGGGAGGAGGAGCCGCTTCGGGGTGATGGGGGCTGAGGAGAGCCCCCAGAGAGGACACCTTCCCAGCCTCTGCCCAGGCTGCTGCGCCCCGCGAGGCGGAATGGCTGGGCGGGCCGGAGCCCAGTCTGCCGGGACGGAAGGCAGTGAAAGCTCCCGGAGGCTCTCAGGAACTCCGCCGATCCACTAAAATGTGCAGCCGTGGGGGTGAGGGCACCCCGCCGTGTCTGCCTCCCATCACCCCGCCGAGTCTCCCATGGCTCTGGGACAGGGGAGGGGGCCCTGCCACCCCGGAGGCCCCGAGGGGCTCCCCACCACACCTCCCACACTGAGATTCAGCCTCCAGGCGATGGCTTCGAGCTTTTTTTTTTTTTTTAATATATCTTTATTGACTTCAGAGAGGAAGGGAGGGAAACATCCATGATGAGAGAGAATCATTGAACGCCTGTCTCCTGCAGGCCCCCACTGGGGATCCAGCCCGCACCCCAACCCGGGCCTGTGCCTGACGGGGAATCGAACCGGTGATCTCTTGATTCCTGGTTCAATTCCCAACTGTCACGCTGGCCACAGATCTTCTCCTGGAAACAAAGGTGCCTCCGGGAGGGCCCCGCTTCCCACCAGGCCGCCAGGGGGAATTTTAAAATCCTCCTCTCGTTAAGCGTCTCTGGAGGCACACAGAAGCTTCCAGCGGAGGGTGCTGCGGTCCCACTGGTCCGCTGGCTCCACAGGGTCCACAGGTCCTGCCCACGGGGCCGGGTCCCTCCTCCGTGGCCACGCCCCCGGCCACAGCCACGCCCCCGGTCACAGCCACGCCCCCAGCCACAGCCGCGCCCCTAAGCCACGCCTCCAGTCACATTCAGCCACGCCCCTAAGCCAAGCCCCCATAACCATGCCCTCTGTGGCCACGCCCCCGACCACAGCCACGCCCCAGCCACACCTGCAGCCACGCCCTCCTTGGCCACGCCCTCCGTTACACCCTTAGCCACGCCTCCATAACCACGCCCTCTGTGGCCACGCCCCACAGCCACGTGCCCCGCCCCCGAGGCTGGCCCGCTGTGGCTCCGGGGGCTGCAGGCGGCGCTCTCCGGGCTGCGGGCCCCGCTGGGCGGGAGGAGCGGCGCTGGCAGAGGCGCCTGGAGGACCGGGCCCTGAGATGCTGGGCCGCCCGAGCCCACAGCCCCGAGGACACAGACAGGAGCCACCGAGTGCCGCCGGCGGGTATGAAAGGCCGGCAGTTGCAGTTCCCACAGCAGTTCGTTAGCGTCCCATCCGTCACAGGAGACGGAACGCCTGCTGCCTGCAGCTCAGCCAGGACCTTAGGAGACCACCGCCCACAGTGGGGGGCACGGCCCAGCGCCACGGTCACCCCCAGATCTGGCTTTCCCCGCCCCGCAGGCCGGACCAGCGGGGGCACGGGGGTACACACACACACACACACACACACACCCCGGCTGGCTCCTCCCTGCAGGGCCGCACTGCCGCACTCAGAGCCCCCGATCCCAGCCTGGCAGCCGCCGGCTCGGCAGGCGCCCAGAGCTCGTTAAGCGGTGGAAATTATTAGAAAGACGCGCACGCTCATTACTCTGGTTTTCCAGTGAATCAGAGGCCATCTCTGCCGGCCTTGGCTAGCGCTGCAAAACACATCGGCGTGTCCATTGCCACTAGTGCAGCGAGAGAGTGGCTCCCACAAGGATCCCACGGAATGGCACACCGTAATGGGAATGCGCGCATTGAACAAACAGTTTGTAAACAGCCTCTTGGAGGCGGGCGGACGTGGTGCCGCAATGTCTGTACGCAGTGCCCGTCCAGCAGATCCGGGGCCCCGATTTCCCACGTGGGCTTCCAAGTGGAACTCCCAGGACCCTGAGCTTCCCCTGCCACCACCCCGGCCACAGGGCACTCTCGTCGGCAGGTGCCCATCGGCGCCTCCTCTGGACAGAGAGGGTCCCTCCCTCATCAAATACCAGCAGGCTTCCCGCTGCGAGGGGGCGGGACACAGAATTTGTTCTTGTTTTTAAATATATTTTTATTGATGTCAGAGAGGAAGGGAGAGGGAGAGTCCTCGTGCACGTGCGCACACGTGCGCGAGCGCACACACACACACACACACACAGCCTCCCCCCAGTCCACACACACTCACACACACACACACAGATACAGCCTCCCCCCCAGTCCTCACACACACACACGCACACACACACACACACACACACACAGCCTCCCCCCCAGTCCTCACACACACACACGCACACACTCACACACACATACAGCCTCCCCCCCAGTCCACACACACACACACACACACAGAGACACAGCCTCCCCCCAGGTCCGCACACACACACACACACACACACACACAGCCTCCCCCCCAGTCCACACACACACACACACACACAGCCTCCCCCCAGTCCACACACACTCACACACACACACACACACACACACAGCCTCCCCCCCAGTCCTCACACACACACACTCACACACATACAGCCTCCCCCCCAGTCCTCACACACACACACGCACACACACACAGCCTCCCCCCCAGTCCTCACACACACACACTCACACACACACAGCCTCCCCCCCAGTCCTCACACACACACACTCACACACACACAGCCTCCCCCCCAGTCCACACACACACACACACACACAGAGACACAGCCTCCCCCCAGGTCCGCACACACACACACACACACACACAGCCTCCCCCAGTCCTCACACACACACACACACACAGCCTCCCCCCAGGTCCACACACACACACACACACACACACACAGAGACACAGCCTCCCCCCCCCCGTCCACACACACACACACACACACACACAGCCTCCCCCCCAGTCCACACACACACACACACACACACACACAGACACAGCCTCCCCCCAGGTCCGCACACACACACACACACACACAGCCTCCCCCCCAGTCCACACACACACACACAGACACAGCCTCCCCCCCAGTCCTCACACACACACACACACACACACAGACACAGCCTCCCCCCCAGTCCTCACACACACACACACACACACACACAGCCTCCCCCAGTCCTCATGCACAGACCCCTTCTCTAATCGCCAGGAAGGGCTTCCCTGGCTTCCCTGGAGCCCCTGCCAAAGCCCACCTGCCCAACAGCCACCTGCCCCTGGCGGACCCTGCATGGCAGACGCACTGCCCCCCTCCCCCCCATGCCTGTGGCTGTCTCTCCCAGCACAGGAGGTGGGGTGACCGTGGCAGACGCTTCCAGAAGACAGGGAAAGCGGACGGTGCTGGCCGGCGGCCATGTCTGCCATCACCGTCTCTCAGAGGCTCGGGCCAGCCCCCTACTCCCTGTCATGGGGGGCCAGTGGGGAGAGACGGTCATGCCAGCTTTTCACACAGGACAGGGGGTGGCCTAGGAGGCACCCTCCTGTGGGACGGGGGGGGGGGTCACCGCCTCGGTGACCACACTGGGGGACCCCGAGGACTGCAGGTGGGAGACAGTCCAGGTGGCCCTCATCCGGGGACTCAGGTGGGTCCCAGCCCAGGTGCCCCATCACCCAGCCCCAGCCCTGCCCGCCCCTCCTCTGACAGCCCGCGGCCAAGGCCAGCGCACGCCTGGACCAACCTGTTCCCTGGCGCCCGGAGACCACATCAGTCAGCCCCCTCCCCCGCCCCTCCCACCCCCAGCCAAGAATGCTTTTGTCCAGCGCAGCCTGCTCCTGGGGAAACAGGTTGCCATGGCGATGCCCAAGCTGGGCCTCCTCTGGTGGGCTGGAAACAGGACCCAGGTAACCAGCCAAACCAGCAAAGCAGGCCCCCGAGGTTCAGAACGGCTGCTCTTGGTCTGGACCCTCGGGGTCACCTGGAGGCTCTCAGGAGGAGAAGGGGAGCCCCTCGCGCCCCCCCACCTTGCCCCAGACCTGGTTCCCAGGAAGGCGGCTCCCAGCCCGGCGTGCCCTCCAGCACTGCTCACCTCCGACCCGAACACAGCGGGGCTTTACCCCAGCGGCCGGGATGGCGGCTCCTCATCCAGCCTCAGCGCCAGCTGATAAGGTCCGTGTGTCAATGGGTTTCTCTCCCCGCTCCCAGCATTTATATTTTAAATATGTTTTTATTGATTTCAGAGAGGAAGAGAGACAGAGGATAGAGAGAGAGAGAGGAGAGAGAGAGAGAGAGAGAGAGAGAGAGAGAGAGAGAGAGAGACATCCATTGTAAGAGAGAATCATCAATCAGCCGCTTCCTGCACGCCCCCTACTGGGGATGGAGCCTGCAACCCGGGCCTGTGCCCTGACTGGGAATCTACCCCTGATCTCCTAGTTCATAGGTCGATGGTCAACCCCTGAGCCACGCTGCCCGGGGGACTGTGCCCTCTTTAACGGGCCGAAGAGAGAAAGCGTGTGAAGGTGCCAGTTCCGGGACAGCTGGGAACATGGCTGCCCATGACCGCAAGCGGCGAGCCCTCAGTCCGGCCGCGAGGCTGCAGGGAGGACGGGGCCAGGCCGGCCCGCGCCGCCAGGCAGAGAGGAGGCTGGTCTGAGACGTCACAGGCAGGACCGGCGTGCGGGATGGCAGCCAGGTGTGCCGAGGCTGCGGCCAGGCCTCCTGGACGAGACGCTGCTGACAGCCGGCGGGGGAGTCCGGGCGGGCGGGCCAGCGCCACGCATCCCCCCAGACAGCACCGCCGCCTCCGCTGGGAGGTCCACCCTCCGCTCCTTCCAGGCGGGCAGGCGGGCCGGAGGCTGAGCCAGGAGGACGAGGGAAGGTTCCGTCTCCAGAGCTGAGGGCGGGCCTTCGTAGGAATCGAATTAAAGGGGCCCTGGCCTCGGCACCTGCGGCTGCCGCCCCCGGCCAGCTGCCACGTGGCACAGGAGGTGCCAGCGGGGGTCACGCCAGCGGCCCTCCATCCCCCAGGGGCTGCCCTCCTGCCTCTGGGTGGACGGGCTGCTTCCTCCCTGTGCGGTTTGGCACCAGGGGGAGGTGAAGGGGTTCAGAACAAGAGCCTTCAGAAGGTGCCGCTTGGGCCTGGGGTTGTTTTGAGCTGAAGGAAATCTAGACCCTGCCAACCAGACAGCCTTCCTCTCCCTCCACCGCCTGGAAGAATGCGGAGGGAGGGCCTAGCAGCCCGGCCTGGCGCAGGCACGCCAGGAGTCTCCGGGCCGGCCAGCCCTGAGCCGCCGGGCGGGGCCGTGCAGACGCGGTTTCACGGAGGCCGGCCGGCCCGCGCGGAGAGGCGGCTCCCGGGAGGGCAGCAGAGGGCTCCGTGGAAGGCAGGGGGCAGGCAGGACGGGGTGTGCCGGCTGGAGCCAGGCAGCCCTCCTGGGGAGACCTCAGCGTGTGGAGCCTTGTTCCCAAGTCTCACCTTCCTGACCAGGAGCGCCGAGCGGCTGGGTTTGGTTCAGGAGCACCGGCCACCGGCGATGGAGCCCGGCGCCCAGCTCCTGTCCGATTAAACCTCAGCCCCGGACCCTCCAGGCCCGCACCGCCCGCCGGGCTGCGGGCTGTGACCGGGCAGAGCAGCCACTGTCCGCGCCTCCCGCTCCCTGCCGTCCACTCTGTCATCCTGCGGCCTGGGACCCCAGTTTTACTGTTCCCCCAGTGTTACTGTTCCCCGCCTCTGTCTGCAGATGGCACTGAGGCTCTGAGCTGCCCAAGGACCCCGTGCAGCCGTGGAGCCCTGTGCCCCCACCAGCACTCCTGGCAGCCCGGAAGGGGCGGGGGAGAGGGGACAGAGTCACTGACTTTGCCATCAGCCAGCAGGGCCCACGCCCCGCCCATGGCCCTCCCCCCACCAGACCAGGCTGGCCCCGCCCATGGCCCGCCCCCAGACCAGCCCTGGCCCCGCCCCGGCCCCGCCCCGGCCCGCAGCAGGAGGGACAGGAGGTCTCACCACCAGGCCCCTGCCCACAGGGCCGCAGAGGGAAGCAGGTGCTGCTCTGTGGGGCTGGAAAGAATGTGGGGGGTGGGGGGTGCGGGGTAAGGGGAGCCTGCACCGCGGAGCAGCCTGGCCTGGGGAGGAAGCCAAGTCAGGGGCTGCGGGCCCAGATGGAGGTCCTGGGGAAGCCCCACTCGCTGGCCGGAGGCCGGAGGCGGGAGGAGGGCGCTCGGCTCCGGGGGCTCTGGCGGCTGCCTCTCCCTGGGGCTTCTAGAAGGATCCAGACGCATATGTAATTTCAGGCTTTCCTTACTTTTCCCTCCTGGCACTGAAACCCAACCCGAAGCACTTAGCACAAACAGGATAAACCCAATCCCGGCCCCAGGGCGCCTGGGGGGAGGAAAGAGCCCCGTGGGGGCCGGGGCCCGCGGCCCTGCAGGGACAGGCTCAGGCAGGGCCCGGCCACGCAGACGGAGGCCACGGCGCCTTTCAGGTGGAAAAGCAGGGTGTTCCGGAGCTTAAGAAACTGTCCTATCCCTCCATCTATCGCTGCAAATGCACGTGTGCCTGCCTCAGGCTACACGCCAGCTATTCTGCGGAGCACATCTCAGCGATTAATTCCCTGGAGGCTGGTGCACGGACGTGTGCACGGGCTCCCTAGGCCTGGCGGGCGATCAGGGCTGATCTGTGGTGGCCGGCAGGGCGATCAGGGCCCCTGCTGGCACCCGCCTCGGCCGGCATGGGGCCTGCAGGCTGGGGCAGCTCCTGCACTGCGTGTCTGCCCCCTGGTGGTCAGTGCAGTCATAGTGCCCGGTCATTCCGCCATTCGGTCTAATTGCCTGGTAGGCTCTTATTATATAGAACCGGTCCCATTTTCAGAGGACAAAGCCGAGGTGTGGGGCCCAGGTCCCTGTGCGGCCAAGCAGCAGCACCGGAGCTGACCGGCTGGTGGTGTGCCAGGCAGGGCCAGCGCTGGCACTGAGCGCAGAGCTGGCTGAGAGCCACCGGCCCAGGGGGCCCTGAGGACAGCAGGGGAGGGGCCGCCTTCTCACAGGCCCTCGCCGGCCAGCCAGGACGCTGATCAGCCAGGACGGGTGGTAGAAGAGTGGGCACTGCCAGGAGGGGGGGGCCCCTGGCTGAGACCTCCCAGGGTTTCTCTCTGGGGGAAGCCAACGGGGTCCCAGCAGGAGCCGTAGGGAGCAGGGAGCAGGCCTGGAGCCCTGGGGAGGGCAGACTCGGGCGCCCAGCCTGCACCCTTCCCGGGAAGCTGCCTCTCTCACTGTGAGTGGCTGCAGCTCATTCCCAGGCCCAGGCTGCCCTCTGCTGGGCTGCGGGGCCCTCACAGCCCCTCAGGCTCCGGAGGCCGCATGGAGGAGCCTGGGCCCTCAGCGCCCGCACACGGACTCCGGCTGAGGCCACGGCAGGAGCAGGGCGGTGGCGCGGCCGGGAACCAGGGGCCTTCCCGGTGAATGCCATGGCGGGGCCACTCGGGGTCAGAGGGTCAGAGGACCAGAGGCTCAGAAGCCCCGCTGATGGCCTCTCAAGACCCGGCCCTGGCCCTAACTGGCGTAGCTCAGTGGATAGAGCGTCGGCCTGCGGACTGAAGGGTCCCAGGTTCGATTCCCGTCAAGGGCATGTACCTCGGTTGCAGGCACATCACCAGTAGGGGGTGTGCAAGAGGCAGCTGGTCGATGTTTCTGACTCTCTGTCCCTCTCCCTTCCTCTCTGTAAAAAATCAATAAAATGTATTATTATTATTATGTTTTAAATACCCCGCCCTGGTCAGGCAGGCCCTGCCGCTGGGCCCCGTGTGTCCGGGGAGAAAGTCTATCTCTGCTCCCGCCGCCAGGACTGCCTCGCCGCCCTGGGCCGCCCTGGACCCCGCACGCCCTCGGGCTGCATCCGCCCCTCGGCCCAGGACTGGACGGGCCGAGCCCACTCGTCTCAGCAGAAGCCGCACCCATCGCCTGGCAGGTGTCCGACGCCCGGCTCCAGCTCGTCCTCCGCAGGGAACCCCGTTCCTCTGGCCCAGGCCCCTCCAGGCTGCAGGCGGAACAGAATGGCCTGTGTGCCACCCCCGCCCACCGTCCTGTGTCAGCTCAGGCCCGAACCCCAGACAGTTCTGCCTGCCCCTCCCCCAGCTGCAGGGCCCCCGTCCAGTCCCGGTCCCCTCCCCGTGTCCAGGGCGACCTCACCCCACCGCCTCGCCCCGCATGGCAGCCGGCCGAGGCCAGCGCGCGGGCTCCAGGAGCCTCTGCCCGCGTCGCTGTTCACATCTCACCATCGGTGACTCCGGGCAGCGGTGGGACAGACAGACAGACAGACGCAGCGCCCCCGGAGGACAGAGCCCCCTGCTCCCCGGGGGCAGAGCACGGGAGCTGCCCCCCTGGGGCTCTGCCAGGGCGCCCAGAGTGGGTGAGAGGTTTTGTCTCACACACACACATATGGGCACCTTCAGAACAGCACTCCCCATTGGCCTCCCACCCTGGGCGCCTCGGACTGGGGTCACCCGGGCCCGGGGCTCCGTGGGAGGTGGGCAGGGAGACAGGAAGTCCAGCGGGCAGTCAGGTGGCCGGTGGGCATCCTCTATGGGACCCTCCGGGTGGCCTGCCTGTAGTGCCCACGGCGGCCACACGGGGGCAGCATCGCCTAGGGCTGCATGTGGGTGCCTCGTGCCCGGACACCCTTCCCTCATTTCCTCTGTGAAAAGCTTCGGGAAGGGACAGGGTTTCAAAAGGTGTCAAAGGATGGGCAGATCCACCCTAACAGGTGTGGCTCAGTGGATAGAGCGTCGGCCTGCGGACTGAAGGGTCCCGGGTTCAATTCCGGTCAAGGGCACGTACCTTGGTTGCAGGCACATCCCCAGTGGGGGTGATGCAGGAGGCAGCTGATCGATGTTTCTCTCTCCCTCTCCTTTCCTCTTTGTTAAAAAAAAAAAAAAAAAAAAAAATCAATAAAATATATTTCGAAAGAGAAATCCTCCGGCCAGTCGCTGGGGAAACAGGCTCAGAGAAGCCCGATGTGGTGCGATGTCCGCCAGCAGCCTGGCTCCCAGCTCCGGTCTCTGCAGGCACCCTCTCTGCCCGCCCCGGGGGAGCACCCGCTGGTGTGAACATGGAGAAAGGTGGTAATGCCAACAGGGCTCCTGGGGACCAGCTGGGCTCAAAAGCAACCCCCCCCAAAAAGCAAACAAACAGGAAAAACAATAACAAAAATGAGCCTGGCAGCCATTGCTACACACCGGCCTCCTGTGCAGACGGTGCAGGGAGAGGCCTGCCCTCAAGGCCTGCCGCCGTCCCGCCCGGAGCAGCCCAAGTGCAGGACTCCGGCTCCTACTTCCACCCCGGCCCCGGGAGCTCCTCAGCTGTATCCCCCCATCAGCCTCTTCACAGCCAGCCAGAGGCTCCACTCCGGCCCATCAGGACAGCAGGGAGGATGAGGACAGACCGATCAGGGGCTGGGGGGCCTCCTGTCTATGTGAGTGAGCTCCGCTCCGGCCCTTCCTCCCTCCCCGGCTGGAGGCTGTTTCTCTGCCGGAGCTGAAACCCTGCAGGTGAAACGTGAACGGGCACCCCCCCCCCACCCCGGGTGCGCCCCACACCGGCTTCCCCATCGGCGTTGAATTGGTGCCGACGACCCCTGGCTGGCCGGGGTGCCTGGGGGCAGGCATCGCCAGAGCTTATGGGAGATGGAGACGCACGAGTCCAGGGTCGGGAAGGAACCAGAGCCACGTTGGGGGACAGGGGCCAGGAAGCGGAAGGAGCTCGTGCAGGTCAAGAGGGAGAGGAGGGTGGGGCCGCGGAGGCCCCCGGAGGAGGCGGCACGGGCACTTGGCCGTGGGTGGAGTAGGAAGCTGGTGGGGTGGATTCGGGGGGAGTGGTGGCTGGGCGAAGGCCGGGAGCCGGAACCTCAGAGCCTCGGTGCCCTCCAGGGGACCAGGAGGTCCGAGGCCAGACGCAGATGTCCGCGCGGGGGGAGCTCCCCACCGGCCGCCTCTGGACACAGCCGCCTTGGCGTTGGAATTTTCCCGAATTCCATCACGGTGAACGTGCAGAAAATGGCCGTTCTCCAGATGAGCTCATGTGGAGGTGGGTGTCAACAAGTGGTCTCCATGGCAACTGCGGGCCGGGCTTTGCCCCTCTGAGACCTGGAGGCCAGCCCGGAGGAGGTGGCAGCCGCTCCTCATTCCTCGGCCGTGACTCAGCAGCCGCCGAGCCGCTGGCCACAAGGCCCCTTACGGACCCCCTTACGGACCCGGGACCGGCTGCCAGGCTCCCCGTATGGACCCGGGACCGGCTGGGACCCGGGACCGGCTGCCAGGCTCCCCATATGGACCCGGGACCGGCTGGGACCCGGGACCAGCTGCCAGGCTCCCTGTATGGACCCGGGACCGGCTGGGACCCGGGACTGGCTGCCAGGCTCCCCGTATGGACCCGGGACCTGCCAGGCCCCCGAGGACGCCTTCACAGGAGGGGGCCACGGAGCCAGGGCCACCTGCTCAGCCTCCCAGGCAGGGCTCCTGTGAGGCCCCGGCCCCATCGGCCGGCTCCCTGCCCTCCGGGTGCGGGTGGAGGCGGCCAGCCGCCCTCGCAACACAGGCTTCCCCAGGGGTGCAGGGCTGTCCGGCTGTTCGACCGGGAAAGGCCTGGCAGATGCCGCCTGGCCCTGACCTCCGCCCCCTCGTCTGCCTGCCTCCCGCCCACCCCCCAGCTCCCCTGAGGCTCAGCCCGCACCCCCTCCTGGGAGCTCAGGCCTCAGTGGTCAGAGGTGAGGGAGCAGGGCCTGAGGTCTCAGGCCCGGAGACCACAGGCCTGGGTCAAGGCCCGCTCTGCTCCCCGTAGCTGGGGGGCTGGGGCTCCTTAGTTGCCCCCTCACCCCCCTAGCCTGTCTCCCCACCTGGATAACGGTAACGCCAGAGCCGACAGAAGCCCCTCCTGAGATGGGGTGCTCAGCCCCCTGTCCCCCTCGGCCACAGGGCAGCACTGAGGCCGGAGGTCCAGGCTGGTGAGTCAGTCCTGCTGCCCAGGGTGCAGCTTGTGAAAGCCACACACCCAGGTCCCCTGACCGCCCCCCCGCCCCGCGCGCGCGCACACACACACACACACACACACACACACACGGAGCTCAGGGCGGCGGCTGGGCAAGGCTGACCCTGACCTCACAGCATACACGCCCCTGCTCCCCCGTCCCCTCCCAGGAGCCACTGTCCCCGAGACTCCCCAGCAGTCACCATGCAGACACCAGCCCCAGCTCAGCACAGCAGGGAACAGGCCGCGCCTCCGGCCCAACTGGGCCACGTTTATTCCGCGGAAACAGCATCGCGTGGTCACTCTGCGGGACGCGGAGGGCGGCGTGCAGGCCCCACAGGCCTGGCAGGGCCCGGGGCGCGGTGCCCGGGAGGCACGCCCACTTCGCTTTGGTTTGGGGGGCGCCAGGCCACCACGCAGAGCGGCACCTGGGCGTCACCAGGAACAGGCCGGGCGGGAGAGCAGCCCTGCCCTCGGGGAGGCCCTGCAGACACCGTGCCCGGGCCGGGGGCGGGCACAGGCGGGCCTGGCGGGCCTGGCGTACAGGGACCCGCACAGTGAGCCAGCGGCATCGGCACCACCGCGGGTGCTTCTGTGAGAAGCAGAATCGGCTACACGGGGTCACGTGCAGAGGAGGGCGTGCGGAGTCCGGGGCCACGGCTGGCGGGAGTCCGAATCCGGTGAACGGGGGCGTCCGGGGAGCGCTGTGTCCGGAGCGGGGAGCCGGGAGCCGGGAGCCGGGAGCCGGGAGCCGCGTCAGCCAAGAACCGGGGGAACCCACTCCGAACATGCACACACGTGTGCGGCAAATAAATACACTCTGCCGTCCCCGCCCCGCTGTGCTGGGCCAGACCTCCGGGGGCTGCGAGAAAGCGCCTGTCAGGACGTGGCCCCCCGTGGCGGGAACGGCCAGGCCGAGGGCCCCAGACCCCGTGCTCGCCTCCCTCGGGCTGCGCGCTCCCACGGCAGGAAGCTGGCGCCGGCTGGAGGCCGAGCTCATCCTCACGCCGGAGCCACGTGGGGGCGGGGGTGGGGGTGGGGGTGGGGGTGGGGGGGGTGGGGGTGGGGGTGTGGGTGGGGGTGGGGGGTGGGGGGTGGGGGTGGGGGTGGGGGGTGGAGGCTGTGGGGTGGAGGCGGGGGTGGGGGCGGGGGTGGGGGCTGCGGGGTGGGGTTAGGGGTGGGAGTGGGGGCTGTGGGGTGGGGGTGGGGGCTGTGGGGTGGGGATGGAGGTGGGGGTGGGGGGGGGGGTGGGGGTGGGGGTGGGGGTGGGGGTGGGGGTGGGGGTGGGGGTGGGGGTGGGGGTGGGGGTGGGGGTGGGGGTGGGGGTGGGGGTGGGGTGGGGGGGGGGGGTGGGGGTGGGGGTGGGGGTGGGGGTGGAGGCTGCGGGGTGGGGGTGGGGGCTGTGGGGTGGGGGTGGAGGTGGGGGCAGGGGTGGAGGTGGGGGTGGGGGGTGGAGGCTGTGGGGTGGGGGCGGGGGTGGGGGCTGCGGGGTGGGGGCGGGGGTGGGGGCTGCGGGGTGGGAGTTGGGTGCTGGCGCTCTCTGACTCGGCGTCCGGGACCTCGGGGAGCTCGGGTCTGGGCCACAGGGACCCTCCGGACTGCACTGGAGCACGAGGCTTCGCTGGGTCCCTGTGCCCATTGGGCTCCGGGCCCCCTCGGTCCTTCCCCATCGCCTCCAAACGCCAGGAGGCCTTCCGCCCGCCCCCCGCTCAGCGGCTGCGGACGGAAGGTTCTCGGGATCCGCGCTCCAGGCCGTGGGCCCACGCCCGGGGTCTGCATCAGGGCGGGAGCCTGGGCCGGGGCTCCTCACGCTGAGTCCGCTCCGCGGGAGACGCCTGCCGGCCGGCCTCACGTCTTCCCCCAGGCGAAAGCCTCGTCGCCCAGCACCTGGGCCAGCCGGGCGTTGAAGGGCCGGTAGAAGTCCCGCAGGAGCCGCTGGGTGAGCGGCCACATGGGCCCCAGGCTGCGGTCCTCGGGGCGCCGGGCGTTGGAGGCGGGGCTCCGGGTCATCAGGGCCTCCTGCTTCTCGCTCAGCGGCCCTGGGCGGGGACAGAGCGGGGCTGAGGGGCGCCGCGGGGCAGGCTCCTGTGCACCTGCTGAGACGCCCTCTCGTCCGCCACTCCACCGGGAACAGGCCACAGCGTCTCCCTCCGTCCCGCCCGGGACCCCGCCCAACCACGCACAGCTGGTGCCGAATGGCCTCCCTGCCCCTCCCTCCCTCCCTGCCCTGCCCGCAAGCCCCAGCACCTCCGGCCCGGCCTGTACCGAGGCTAAGGAACTGGCAGACCCTCCGCATGGTGGCCTTGACGTCGGACGCGTGGTCCTCCAGGCGCAGGACGAGCAGCTGGTCCCTGTCGAACACGTCGAGCCAGTCCAGCAGGTACACGGCGTACAGCCCCACCTGCAGCCGCACCTGCACGGAGAAGGCGCCGTTCCAGACAGCTCCGCCCGCCCACCCGGGGCGCCGGGTCAGGGCCAAGCCCCCTGCCTTGGACGCTGGATTTTAAATGCCACGTGTTCCTCTTTAGACATCGACAGCACGTTCTCTTATTTTTGTGTTAGATATATTTCTATTTCAGATCCTCTGCCTCCTGCACGCCCCCTACCGGGGATTAAGCCTGCAACCCAGGCCCGTGCCCTTACGGGGAATCAAACCCATGACCTCCTGGTTCCTAGGTCGACGCTCAGCCCCTGAGCCACACCCGCCGGGCACACCACACGTTCTTGCAAGACTCCCACTTCGGGGCCACTGAACCCTCGTGCGAACCTGTGGGCGCTCCCGGCACGGTTCAAGGCCTGGTCAGGGCGCGGGCAGGGTGCGGGCCCCGTCTCTGGTCGGGGTGCGTAGGAGAGGCAGCTGATCAGTGCTGCTCTCTCCCTGTCCTTTCCCCTCTCTCTAAAATCAACAGCAACACGTTTACAGCAATAAAAGGCACCTGCCTCCTGCAGATCCACATCTCCGCCCTCAGGGCCCCCCCTCCCCCCGGAGGTCCACGGCCGTGGGCCCTGGAGCTGCGCCCCGAGCCCGCCCGGGACTAGCCACCGGCTCCGGGTGCAGGGACCCTCCGGAGCCCCCGCGCCTCCCGTGTAAGGTGGGCTGGGTCTCGGCACCTGGGAGGACTGAGCAATGGGGGCCCTGGAGGAACCAGGATGGTGCCAGCTCAGTAACGCAGACGCCCGAGTCCCTCCCGCCCAGGGACGGTTTGGCCGGAGAGACGCCCAGCTGCACAAATACGGAGACCGGGGACCGCGCCCGGAGACTTGGCACCCAGCCCCCCCCCGTTTTCCTTCCCAGCCAGGGTGCCAACAGGGAGGCCAGAGGGAGGGACCGCCCTGTCCTCCCTGGGAGGAAGTGGCCGCGGGCATCCTGCCTCCCGGAGGCGTTAAAGACGGGCGAGCCCTGGCCAGGCGGCCCAGTGGTTAGAGCGGCAACCCACACGCCAAGGTTGCGGGTTCGCTCCCCGGTCAGGGCGCATGAATAAGCGAAACAACAAATCAATGCTTCTCTCTCTCTCTCTCTCTCTCTCTCAAATCAGTCAATGAAAATTAAAGTGACACAGAGGACAGGCACAGGGCTTGCTCCATCCACGGCAAACGCACCGCTCTGCGAAGTCGCTGTATAAGGCGGCGCCATGCCCACCTCGGAGGGACTCGCCATGGCCCTCCGCGTGGTGTGCCATGAGCCTGCTCCCCCTCCTGTTTGCTTTTCTCACGCGAATCGGCCTCTCGTCAGCATAGCGACGGCCCAGCCGACGGAGGAACCACTGCTCCTGCGCCCACAGCAGCTGGGAGAGCGGCATCTCTCTCTCCCGCTCCGACATCCATTAAACTTTTGGCGGGACAGTCCCGATTTTTAATAATGTTTTATAGTTTTTAATAATTTGTCCCGAGGCGTTTCAAAAAAGTCCCAATTCAAAAATCGGGACTTTTTTTTTTTTTAATATATTTTATTGATTTTTTACAGAGAGGAAGAGAGAGGGATAGGGAGTTCGAAACATCGATGGGAGATGAACATCGATCGGCTGCCTCTTGCACACCCCCTACTGGGGATGTGCCCGCAACCAAGGTCCATGCCCTTGACCGGAATTGAACCCGGGACCTTTCAGTCCGCAGACCGACGCTCTACCACTGAGCCAAACCTGTTTTGACAAAAAATCGGGACTTCTTTAAAACACCTTGGGACGCGGAACAAATTGTTAAAAATCGGGACTGTCCCGCCAAAAGCGGGATGGCTGGTCACCTTACCTTAAACACACACACACACACACACACACACACACACACCCTGCCTCCTGTGTTTATGCTGAAATCCCCCACACCACCCGCCCAGCAGCCAGGGGAAGCCGTGGAGGGGGGTGTGGAGGCCTGAGGGCCAGGCTCAGGGGGAGGCGGGGGGGGGGGGGACCTCGGGGCAGGCTCGGGGGGAGGCAGGGGGGGCCTCGGGGCAGGCTTGGGGGGAGGCGGGGGGGGGGGGGGAGGCGGGGGGAACCTCGGGGCAGGCTCGGGGGGAGGCGGGGGGGGACCTCGGGGCAGGCTCGGGGGGAGGCGGGGGGGGGGACCTCGGGGCAGGCTCGGGGGGGAGGCTTGGGGGGGCAGCGGGGGGGGCCTCGGGGCAGGCTCGGGGGGGGAGGCAGGGGGGAAGGGGCACGCACTGGCATGGCGTTGTTGAGGCTGTTGTTGTACACGCAGGCCCGCAGCGAGGCGTCCAGCAGGCAGGCCTCGAACAGCTGCAGTGCGTCCGTCACCTTCTCGTGGAAGTCCTCGGCCGACTTGTTGGAGGAGGCGAAGTACAGGTAGTCCGAGTACAGCCTGGACGAGAGACGGCGGTCAGCCGGAGTGGGCATCGCCGTCCAGGGGCGGCCAGCCGGAGCGGGCATCCCCATCCGGGGGCGGTCAGCCGGAGCGGGCATCGCCGTCCGGGGGCAGTCAGCTGGAGCGGGCATCCCCATCCGGGGGCAGCCAGCTGGAGCGGGCATCCCCATCCGGGGGCGGCCAGCCGGAGCGGGCATCGCCGTCCGGGGGCGGTCAGCCGGAGCGGGCATCCCCGTCCGGGGGCCGTCCGGGGGCCGTCCGGGGGCGGTCAGCCCAGAGCGGGCATCGCCGTCCGGGGGCAGTCAGCCGGAGTGGGCATCGCCATCTGGGGGCGGCCAGCCGGAGCGGGCATCCCCGTCCGGGGGCGGTCAGCCGGAGCGGGCATCGCCGTCCGGGGGCAGTCAGCTGGAGCGGGCATCCCTATCCGGGGGCAGTCAGCCGGAGTGGGCATCGCCATCCGGGGGCGGCCAGCCGGAGCGGGCATCGCCGTCCGGGGGCGGTCAGCCGGAGCGGGCATCGCCGTCCGGGGGCCGTCCAGGGGCGGCCAGCCGGAGCGGGCATCGCCGTCCGGGGGCGGTCAGCCCAGAGCGGGCATCGCCGTCCGGGGGCGGTCAGCCCAGAGCGGGCATCGCCGTCCGGGGGCGGTCAGCCAGAGCGGGCATCGCCGTCCGGGGGCGGCCAGCCGGAGCGGGCATCGCCGTCCGGGGGCGGTCAGCCGGAGCGGGCATCGCCGTCCGGGGGCGGTCAGCCGGAGCGGGCATCGCCGTCCGGGGGCGGTCAGCCGGAGCGGGCATCGCCGTCCGGGGGCGGTCAGCCAGAGCGGGCATCGCCGTCCGGGGGCCGTCCAGGGGCGGTCAGCCGGAGCGGGCATCGCCGTCCGGGGGCGGCCAGCCGGAGCGGGCATCCCCGTCCGGGGGCCGTCCAGGGGTGGTCAGCCGGAGCGGGCATCGCTGTCCGGGGGCTGTCAGCCGGAGCGGGCATCGCCGTCCGGGGGCGGCCAGCCGGAGCGGGCATCGCCGTCTGGGGGCGGTCAGCCGGAGCGGGCATCGCCGTCTGGGGGCCGTCAGCCGGAGCGGGCATCCCCATCCGGGGGCAGCCAGCCGGAGCGGGCATCCCCGTCCGGGGGCGGTCAGCCGGAGCGGGCATCGCCGTCCGGGGGCGGCCAGCCGGAGCGGGCATCGCCGTCCGGGGGCGGCCAGCCGGAGCGGGCATCGCCGTCCGGGGGCCGTCCAGGGGCGGTCAGCCGGAGCGGGCATCGCCGTCCGGGGGCAGGACACCACCGTGCCACAGCGCGGGGCTGTTCCTAACACGCTCTGGGCTCCTGCAGGCAAGCGTGTTCCTGCCTCCCTTTTTAAAAAAAGTGTTTTTATTGATGTCAGAGAGGAGGGAGAGGGAGAAAGACATCAGCGATGAGAGAGAATCACGGATCGGCCGCCTCCTGCACGCCCCACACTGGGGATGGAGCCCACACCCCGGGCCTGGGCCCTGCTCGGGAATCGAGCCCTGGCCTCTGGGTTCCTAGGTCAATGCTCAAACCAGTGAGCCACACCGGCTGAGCCCTATTTCCCTTCATGTGTCCCCTCCCCCTCACCCCAGGCTCTCCGGACTCAGTCAGGTCCACACGGGCCCCCACCCTCGTAGGCACGCACACACAGTAGGCCTGTATGTGTATGCCCACACGTGGTCTGTCCGTGCAGACCCACCCACACGTGCACACACCAGGCTCAGGGTCATTAGTCCGACAACCTCGGAAACCCACAGAAGACCCAAACCCAGCTCCCGGGCAGACTGCACGTCCTCACCAGCTCCCCCTCCCTCCCAGGAGGAAAGGGGGGACGCGGGCTCCTGCTTAGGGAGCAGGTCAGGGTCCCCCCCCAGAGGAGCAGGTGGACGTGCAGAGGATTGTCTCAGTCAGCAATGCCAGGACTCCCCACAACCCCCTCTGGGGGAGCAGAGTCAGGGAGCCACCCTGGAGGGGGAGAGCCACTTGCTGGGTTAAAACTGCTCAGAAAACGTTGAGGACAGCGAACGTACTGAGAATAAGCACCCAGCCCTAACCGGTGTGGCTCAGAGGATAGAGCGTCGGCCTGCTGACTGAAGGATCCCAGGTTCGATTCCGGTCAGGGGCATGGACCTTGGTGGCGGGCACATCCCCAGTGGGGGGTGTGCAGGAGGCAGCTGATCGATGTTTCTAACTCTCTATCCCCCTCCCTTCCTCTCTGTAAAAAGTCAATACAATATATTTAAAAAAGAAGAAGAAAGAAAAAAAATGAAAGGAAGGAAGGAAGGAAGGAAGGAAGGAAGGAAGGAAGGAAGGAAGGAAGGAAGAAAGAAAGAAAGAAAGAAAGAAAGAAAGAAAGAAAGAAAGAAAGAAAGAAAGAAGAAGCACCCAGCCCAGGCAGTGTTGAATGTTAACCTGGGAACCGGAAGGTCCCGGCTTGATTCCCGGTCAGGGCACAGGCCCAGGCTGTGGGCTCGTCCCCAGTGGGGTGCAGGAGGCAGCTGAGCCATGATTCTCTCTCATCACTGAGGTTTCTCTCCCTCTCCCTCCCCCTTCCTCTCTCTTTAAAAGTCAATGAGAACATTTTTCGGGAAGAAGCAGGTGAAGCGTGAGGACCGCCAGGCCCCGAGCCGCTGGGCTGCCTGGCCGGGCCACGCCCCCTCCCCGTCGCGCCGAGGGTGCGGGCTGGGCCTCGTCCGTGTCCGCCCTCCACGCCACGGCCGCCCTCCCCGCTGGTCTCACGGAAGAGCCAGAGCCGCACGCGCAGAGCCCACCGGACAGGCCTCGGACAGGTCCGGAGACGGGGACCCCAGGCGTCAGCCCCCAGATTCCAGGGCGTGTCTCCCTTCCTGGCGGTGCCGCGGAGCCCCCCGGGGCCAGGCCAGCCGGCCGCACGCAGGCTGCAGGCTGCAGGCCCGCCCAAGCGGCCCGGGAACCATCGCAGCCGCTGGGACCGCGGCGAGGAGCTCCGGACAGTGTTTACGGAGGAAATACCGCCCGCGGCATTGTGACGGGAGGAAAGATGCTATTTCCGTCCGCCTCGGCCTCTCCCCACCCCCGCCCGGGACAGGAAGTCTGACCGCTCACCCCTGCCCCGCTGGGTGACTCCGTGGCTGAGCGCAGACCACGGAGCCGGGAGGTCAGGGTTCGATTCCCAGTCAGGACACAGGCCCGGGGGCGGGCTCCATCCCCAGTGAGGGGCGGGCAGGAGGCACCGATCAGTGACTCTCTCAGCATGGACGTCGCTCCCTCTCCCATGGATCTGGAGACTTTCGGAAGCACCTTGGAAACTGTCTTAAAGCCCCCGGGGGTGCCTGTCCGGGTGATGCAGCGTGGCTGTGGGTGTGGGTGTCTGTCCGGGTGAGTGCAGCGTGGCTGTGGGTGTGGGTGTCTGTCCGGGTGATGCAGCGTGGCTGTGGGTGTCTCTGTGCGTGATGCAGCGTGGCTGTGGGTGTCTGTCCGGGTGAGTGCAGCGTGGCTGTGGGTTTGTGTGGCTGTAGGTGCCTGTGTGTGTGATGCAGCGTGGCTGTGGGTGTGGGTGTCTGTCCGGGTGAGTGCAGCGTGGCTGTGGGTGTGTGTGGCCGTGGGTGTCTGTCCAGGTGAGTGCAGCGTGGCTGTGGGTGTGTGTGGCCGTGGGTGTCTGTCCAGGTGAGTGCAGCGTGGCTGTGGGTTTGTGTGGCCGTGGGTGCCTGTGTGTGTGATTCAGCGTGGCTGTGGGTGTGGGTATCTGTCCGGGTGAGTGCAGCGTGGCCGTGGGTGTGCGTGGCCGTGGGGGCCTCTCGGAGGGAACGCACTAGCAGTGACAGGCAGAGGCCCACCTCTCCACGGGGTCCCTGAGCATCACGATGAGCTGGGCGTCGGGCTGCAGGGCGTGGAGGAAGTCCTGCGTCAGGAAGGGCGGCTCGCCGTCCGTGCTGTTGTCGTAGAAGAAGGTCCAGGCGTTGTTGTCCCACATGGTGGACGCGCTGGCCTCCCCTGGGACGAGACGGGCAGTGAGCGGCGCTGAGGGACAGGGTTCCCCCCCCAGCGGCCTGAGCCAGGGCCTCCCTGGCTGATGCCCTCCCTCACCAGCCGTGGGGGCGCCAGCAGGTCCCCACCCTGGCAGGCTGGTCTCCAGGGCGCGGAGGCGGAGACCGCCCCCTGCCACAGTGACACACACACACCCAGGACCTCGGCGTGGCTCAGGGGCTGAGCATCGACCTATGAACCAGGAGGTCAGGGTTCGATTCCCAGTCAGGGCCCAGGCCCTGGGCCCCGCACGCCTGCGCATGGACACTGCAGGGACGAGAGCGGCCGAGGGGAGAGGACGGGGCGAGGCGGGCCCCTCGAGGTCAGCCCCGTCCGCCCCTCCCCTCGGGGTCAGCCCCGTCCGCCCCTCCCCTCGGGGTCAGCCCCGTCCGCCCCCCCCCCTCGGGGTCAGCCCCGTCCGCCCCTCCCCTCGGGGTCAGGCCCGGCCGCCCCTCCCCTCGGGGTCAGCCCCGTCCGCCCTCCCCTCGGGGTCAGGCCCTGCCCCAGGCCCGGCCGCCCCCCCCCTCGGGGTCAGCCCTGTCCGCCCCTCCCCTCGGGGTCAGCCCTGTCCGCCCCGCCCCTCGGGGTCAGCCCCGCCCGCCCCTCCCCTCGGGGTCAGCCCCGTCCGCCCCTCCCCTCGGGGTCAGGCCCGGCCGCCCTCCCCTCGGGGTCAGCCCCGTCCGCCCCTCCCCTCGGGGTCAGGCCCGTCCGCCCCTCCCCTCGGGGTCAGCCCCGTCCGCCCCTCCCCTCGGGGTCAGCCCCGTCCGCCCCTCCCCTCGGGGTCAGGCCCGGCCGCCCTCCCCTCGGGGTCAGCCCGTCCGCCCTCCCCTCGGGGTCAGGCCCTGCCCCAGGCCCGGCCGCGTACCGATGACGATGCGGCTGCTCCTGCCGGCGGCGCCCGCCTGCAGGCCCCGGTGGACCTGGTGAGCCGCCAGGTCGAAGAGGTCCAGGTAGTCCTCCACGGGGTAGCGGTCCCGCAGCCCGTCCCGCAGCCGCACGATGCCTGCGGGGTCAGAGCGGGGTCACCGAGGACGGCGCGGCCGGGCTGCCGGCTCCCGGGCGACGGGGAGGACGGAGGCCCCGGCCGGGTCCGCAGCCAGGCTCGGCCGGGAGGCTGCTGGCAGGGGCGGCAGGCAGACAGGGTGGGCACTGGAGCTTGATGTCAGAGAGGAAGGGAGAGGGAGAGAGAGACAGAGAGAGAGAGAAACATCAAGGATGAGAGACAATCATGGCTCAGCTGCCTCCATGGGGGATGGAGCCCACAACCCGGGCCTGTGCCCTGACCAGGAATTGAACCGGCAACCTCTTAGTTCATAGGTCAATGCTCAACCCCTGAGCAGCACCAGCCTGGCCCTTCAGGAGCCGTCCCATGTCTGCTGGGAGGGCCAGCGTCTGGGCTGGGTGAGGCGAGGGCCAGGGGAGCCGGCAGGGCCTGTGGGACGGGCACCCTCATCTCAGGCTCTGCCCTGTGCTGTGGGTCAGCAGCCTGTCCGTCTGTCCAAACACTAAGCAAACAGATGGTGCCGGACAGACACATGGTTTGAGCTGGGCAGCGACCCTGGCATCAGCCACGTGCAGCCACACCGGCCCAGCCTGAGACGGGGTGCAGGCATGGTGGCCACACACCAGCCCCGCCAGCAGCCGCTGAGGGCCGGGGAGTGGACACTCCCACGGACAGACGAGAGGCTGAGGGTGACCCCGGATCCAGAGGCCTGGCTCTGTCCATGAGGGAAAGGGGGAGCTCCTGCCGCTGCCCCAGACACGTGTGCTCTGTCCACTCCGGAGGGACATCAGAGTTCGGTCAGACGTTCGTCTGGAAACACACTGACCGCTGGCCAACATGGTTCCACCAGGGAGAGGCAGGATCCCTCCGGAGCAGCCTGGCCCCGCGTCCGGAACACGCCTCGGCCTGGCCCGGCCCGGCCCGCCCAGACTCCGCGGTCACCATCCGGCTCGATGACCGCTGCCTCCTGGCACAGCGAGAAGGTCAAGGGGAGGAAAGAGTGACCGCGCAGGGAGGCCCCGGCGGCGCAGGAGCCACAGGAGGAGGACGGCGAGGCCACGCCAGCAGAGGGGAAGGGGCGCCGGGATCCAGTCCAGAGGCACCGAGATCATCTCCACGTGGCTTCAGTCCACCGAGCCAGGTGCCACGGAGGACAGAAGCTCAGGGCCCAGGCTGAGCCCCAGGGAGGAGCCGCTGCTGGGCAGCCTTTCTCCGTCTCCGCCCAGCGCGGGGGCTGCAGGGCCAGGTCAGAGCAGGAGGGACAGGTCAGAGGGGGAGGGGCCAGGTCAGAGGGGGAGGAAGAGGTCACAGCGGGAGGGGCCAGGTCAGAGGTAGGGGGGTCAGGTCAGAGGGGGAGGAAGAGGTCAAAGCGGGAGGGGCCAGGTCAGAGGTAGGGGGGGTCAGGTCAGAGGTAGGGGGGTCAGGTCAGAGGGGGAGGGGAGAGGTCACAGAGGGAGGGGCCAGGTCAGAGGTAGGGGAGGTCAGGTCAGAGGGGCAGGGGGCAGGTCAGAGGGGGGGGGGGTCACAGCGGGAGGGGCCAGGTCAGAGGGGGAGGAAGAGGTCACAGCCGGAGGGGCCAGGTCAGAGGTAGGGGGGTCAGGTCAGAGGGGGAGGGGACAGCCTCGATAAATGTCCACCAGCGCTGCCCTCAGACTCCTCGGGACCAGGCGGGCTGCCGTTCTGCGCAGTCCCAGACCCTGCACCCACGGCACTCGGTAACTCCCATGTGCCCGGGACCTCAGAGAGGGAGGATCTGACTCTGCGCCCAGGAGCCCAGCCCAGAGCCTGGCCCAGAGCAGCCTGCCTCGCTCCCACCCGTGTGGTGAGAAGGCGTGGTGAGCCCAGCGAGTGGCTCAGTGGTTGAGCTTCGACCTATGAGCCAGGAGGTCCACCCGGGCGTAGTCAGAGCACAGGCCGGGGTTGCGGGCTCAATCCCCAGGTGGAGGGTGCAGGAGGCAGCTGATCAATGATGCTTTTATCGTTCTTGTCTCTCCCCCCCCCCTCCTCTCTGACATCCATAGAAATAAACAGAAAAGGAGAGCAAAGACGGCGTGGGGAGGGATGGAGGCAGGACCGGGCTCACACACCGAACCGCTTGCGCGTCCACCAGTGGGGCTCCTTGATGGCGGAGAACTGCACCTCGGGGTGCAGCCGCAGCCGGTCGTACAGGTCGGTGGTGCCGCACTTGGGCTGCCCGATGACGTAGAAGCGCGGCAGGCAGCGCAGGCGGTAGCGGCGGCCGGCGGCCTGGGCCAGCTGCCCCCAGAAGGCCTTGCGCAGCGCGTCGAAGGTGGTGCGGAAGCGCCGGGAGTAGAGGGCGTAGGAGTTGGCGAGGTACGGGTCCGAGGTGTTGGGCCCCGCGAACTCCTCGTACCAGCACGGGCTGCGGCTGCCCGGCAGGAACTTCCTGGGGATGACCGCGAACATCTGCAGGAGAGGGGGACACGGGGGACGACTCTGACCACGCGTGGTCCTGCTCGGACACGGACACGGACACGCGTTCAGCAGGCGGTGCTCTCTGTCCAGGCTAACAGCCCGCATCGAGCACACCCGGGAGAGCCACGACCTGCTCCCTCGGGACCCAAATTTAAAAATAAAAAACCTCTGAAGAGAATGAAGATGGAAGTTTGGTCAGGAGTCACTCTCCAATGATTTATCTCTCATGCACACATGCACACACCACACGCACATGCACACACAAGCACACACGTGCACACATGCACACACACGCACACACACGACTGGCTGAGTAAGCAGCGGGGACCTTGTCACTGGCTGTATATTGAATGAAGACAAACATACTAATTAGGACAAAATGGAAACAGGACAATAAAGACATAAAAAACAGTTAAAACCAGGCCCGACGTGGTTGAGCGTCAACCTATGAACCAGGAGGTCACGGTTTGATTCCCAGTCAGGACCTAGGTTGTCGGCTTGATTCCCAGTGTGGGGCCTGCAGGAGGCAGCTGATCCATGATTCTCTCTCATCGTTGATGTTTCTCTCTCTCCTTTTCCCTTCCTCTCTGACATCAATAAAAAGTATTTGCTTATAAAAATATATCCTATCCTACATAATAAAAGGCTAATATGCAAACTGACTAAAAGGCAGAATGACCGGTTGCTATGACACACACTGACCACCAGGGGGCAGACACTCAACAAAGGAGCTGCGCCTGGTGGTCAGTGTGCTCCCCCAGGGGAGTGCCGCTCAGCCAGAAGCCGGGCTCACAGCTGATGAGCGCAGCAGCCGTGGTGGGAACTCGCCTATCTCCCAGCAGCGCTAAGGATGTCCGACTGTGTCCACCTAAGCTGCCGGCTGGACAGCCGCCGAGGGCTCCGGGACTGCGAGAGGGCGCAGGCCGGGCTGAGGGACCCTCCCCCAAGTGCACGAATTTCATATACTGGGCCTCTAGTCCCATATAATGAAAACCTAATATGCTAAGCGTCCAGTTGTCTGGTTGGCCATTCAACCAATCAAAGCATAATATGCTAATGGATGCTAAGCCGCTCAACCGCTCGCTATGATGTGCACTAACCACCAGGGGGCTGACAGTCAGCCAGTCGACCAGTCGCTGTGACGTGCACTGACCGCTAGGGGGCAGATGCTCAGAACGGTAAGTTAGCTTGCTGGGCTGGGGTCCGGCTGATTGGGACTGAGCGAGATGGGCCGGACATGCCCTGGAGCCCTCCCACGGTCCCTCCCTGGCCCAATCATGCACTGGTGGGGTCCCTCAGCCTGGCCTGCGCCCTCTCACAACCAGGGCTCAGGGACCCCAGCCTCGAGTGCATGAATTTTGTTCCCTGGGCCTCTAGTACATGAACAAAATAAAAAGCAGCTGAAACCACCGTGACCCCCGTCAATCCTCCTTCAGCTGCACCATCTCGTATCGGAACGTCCCTCCTCGGGAGCCCCGTGGCAGACACCTCTCCCGGGGTCACCGAGAAATTCTCCCTGAAGGTGCCGACAGAGAAGCATCCTTTTCCAAAGCCCATCGACCGTCCGGGGGCCACTCACGTGGGGCTCCTGCCTGCGGAGGGCGGCAGCGCCCGGGAGCTGCCGGGCGGTGAAGGCGATCCTGGCGGCGATGCTGTCGAGGACCAGCCGCAGGCCCGGGGCGTCCCTGGCCGCCGAGAGGTTGCCGGCAGGCGGCGGGGGCGGCTCCTTGGCGGGGCCCGGGCCCTCGCCGCCCAGCGGGCCGCCTGGACCAGGGCTGCCGGGGAAGGCTCCGAGGCGGAAGGGCGAGGCGAGCAGCAGCTCCTGCCGGGCCCCCGAGAGGATGTAGGAGGCCGTCACCAAGGTCATGATGGCCAGCCCGACGGCCAGGCTGCACCGCCGCCCCCGCCCGCGGCGCCAGCAGCCGCCCCAGGCCTCGCCGCCGTCCGGCCGCCCCTCCAGCACGGCCAGCAGGTTCATCGGCCTCCCGTCCGCGCGGGACGCGGCCCCGGGGTCTCCTGGGCGCGGGGGGCGCTCCGGGGGGCCGGAGGGGGGGCCCGGCCGGCCGCCCGGCCGCGGCTGGTGCGTGTGGTCCAGCAGCAGCGGGACGCCGCAGTCAAGGCAGTGCCTCATGGTCGCGCCCGCGGCCGGCCGGGCCCAGCCATGGGCGAGCAGCAGGGCGCGCGGCCGGCGGGCGGAAGGCACCGGGCGAGCAGAGGAGCGGGCGCCGCGGCCCCGGAGCTCGCGGTTCCACGGAGAGGCGGGAGGGCGCGGCCTCGCGGGGGCATGCTCTGTGGGCCGGGCCTCACGCTGCGGGGCGGTCCCGCCGCCCCCCGGGGCTCCCCCGGGCGCGGGAGGAAGAGGGCGGGGCCTCGCCCGAGAACGCGGGGGCGCCCGGGAGGTCGGCCGGGATCATGGTCTCCTCGGGGGGCCGGGCCGGCGCGCCATCCGTGGGCCCCGTGTCCGTGTCCCGTGGGATGTCTCCGCTTCGGGGCAGGCCAGTCCTTAAAGCGTCAGACCACCTGAACGGCAGAAGAAAGAGGTTTCCTTGTGTGTTCTTTTAAAAATATTTTTACTGATATCAGAGAGGAAGGGAGAGAGAGAAACATCCATGATGAGAGAGAATCATGGACCGGCTGCCTCCTGCACGCCCCACACCGGGGATCGCACCCGCAACCCGGGCCTGTGCCCTGACCGGGAATCGAACCCAGACCTCTTGGTTCAGAGGTCAATGCTCAATCCCAGAGCCACATGGCCAGGTGAGAAGAGGTCTATTCCATCTCGGGGTGACAGCAACAATCCAGGGGCCTCTGAGGCACGTCTGGTCTCAGCCCCGGCCCCGGGTCACAAACAAGCCACAGAACAGCTAACAGGACTCAGGGAGGTTTGGGGGCCTTGGGGCCTGGCTTTGGGGTGCAGTCTCGGCCAGCACACGTGGCCCCAACGCCAGCAGCCCCGCCCCACGTCGGACCCCTCGTGCTGCGCCCACCTCTCCAGCCCCCGCGCCTCCTGCCCCGGCGAAGTGCCTGGGCCTCTGTCCCAGGGTCAGGCCCAGCCGGTGACCAGGAACCTGAGAGACGGACGGAAACGCCGGCGCTTTACGTCGACCGAACACCAGGAAGGAGCACGGAGAGCACAGCTTTCCGCCCCCGAGGCCCCCCGGCCTCCCCCGGCCAGCTGTGCGGGCCGGGCAGGGCAGGAGTGAGGAGCGTTCGGGACGATGGGAGGACGATGCAGAGGACACACCTCCGCAGAGCGAACCCCGTAGAACCGCTCGCCAGCGGTCCCTCGGCAGCTAGACCCAGCGCCCGCGGCCCCCGGGACACGCCCTCTGCAGCCCTGAGATCGCTGCTCCCGGCTCCATCCTGGAAAAGCATGAATCTCTCACGTCTATTTATAGGATCTGTGGTTACAGAATGTGCTGCTGCCGGATGATACATCTTGGTAGCTGTAGTAAAAAAAAGAAGAGGAAAGAGGCAGCCTGGCCCATGTGGCTTAGTGGTTGAGCGTCGACCCATGAACCGAAAGGTGACCAGTTCGATGCCCGGGTTGTGGGCTCGACCCCCAGTAGGGGGCGTGCAGGAGGCAGCCGATGGATGTTTCTCCCTCATGCATGTTTCTATCTCTCTATCCCCTTCCCTTGCTCTCTCTCTAAAATCAATAAAATATATACTTTTAAAAAACGCCAAACCGCCAAAACCGGTTTGGCTCAGTGGATAGAGGGTCGGCCTGCACCCTGAAGGGTCCCGGGTTCGATTCCGGTCAAGGGCATGCACCTTGGTTGCAGGCACATCCCCAGTAGGGGTGTGCAAGAGGCAGCTGATCGATGTTTCTATAACTCTCTATCCTTCTCTTCCTCTCTGTAAAAAAAAAAAAAAAAATCAATAAAATATATTTAAAAACAAAACAAAGAAACGCCAAGCCCTCTCAGTTTCCGGGCCGGTAGGCCGCCACACACGCGCTGCGGGACGGCTCCAGTTCCCGCGCCGGTAAAATCGGATCGGAGAAAGCACCCTCTTCGTCCACGAAAGCGTCTGCGTCCCATCTGCACACGGTTCCCTCCCCCGAGAGAGAGGCAGCGTTCGTGGCACCGGCATCGCCAGGGGCCACGCAGACAGGCCCTGTCGATGGCAGGGAAGGCCCAGAGCGATGAGAGGGCGTCAGAAAGGGAGAGCCTGCCGCACGGACTCCCTCGGTGCCCGGCCCGAGTGTGACGGACACACCCTGACTGTCCACACCCCTCACCATCTGCTGCCTCCAGAGAAGGAGGCATCGTCCTGCGGTAGAGCCGCCTCCTGCGGCTGGAGGGCTCAGCGCCGAAGCCGCCTGCAGGGGCTGCCTGCCCGCCGGGCCCACGGCAAGGCCTGTGCGTGAACAAAGCACAGGGACCACGCAATAGTCCCGCAGCGGCTCCCAAACGGGCTTCCCCCAGCAGCCCCTGCTGCCCACGGGGTTCTGTGCTTAAACTCCTGGAAAAACGGTGCAACGGGCAGAATACAGACTTTTTAAAATACGTTTTTGTTGGTGTCAGAGAGGACAGGAGAGGGAGAGAGATAGAAACATCAATGATGAGAGAGAATCATTAATTGGCTGCCTCTTGCCCGCCCTCTTCTGGGGATGGAGCCTGCAACCTGGGCCTGTGCCCTTGACGGGAATGGAATCCGGGTCCCTGTAGTCTGCAGGCCGACACTCTAGCCACTGAGCCACACCGGCCGGGGCAGGCAGACAGACTTCTTCACAGCAGGGCTTTCCAGGGCCTTCAATCTGCTCGTGAGGCCTGGGAGCCCACAGGATTGGGACGGATGCACAGAATTTCCAAAACAGACACGGCCACAACCTCTCCCGGCGCCGGCTTGAGAACACTGGCCGGGAGGCCGAGTCAGGGGTCAGGCCGTTCTGAGAAGAGCGAGGGGGCGGCGAGGGGCCGTGGGAGCCAGCTGTCCCTGACGGGGCGTCCCAGGCCCCGCTACCCGCACCCCCGCTCCGACCTCCGCCTCCGACGTGTCCCCCGCGCTGACCCCTCTCTCGGGACAAACAATCCTTCCAAACCAAAGACACAAAAGGGCAGGCCCCGGCCTGGCAGCCGCCGGAGCGAGAAAACACGGCTTTCCCGCGGAGATAAGGCTCCTCCCGCAGAGACAGGACAGCCGCCTTGGGCGGGGAGGGCCTCGTTAATTTATTTTTAAAGAAAACACGGTCCCTGCGGCTCCAGACAAGAATGTGCAATCCGTGACCCGGCGGGAGGGCAGACGCTCCCCCCAGAACGCAGGATTCTCAACCTCCGCCAACACACAGGCCGGGAGGCGGAGGGGGGGCGGAGGGGGGGGGCGGGGGGGGGGCGGGGGGGGGCGGAGGCGGAGGCGGAGGCGGAGGGGGGGCGGAGGCGGAGGCGGAGGGGGGGGCGGAGGCGGAGGGGGGGACCTGGCGGTGGCCACAGCGCAGACCCGGGTGGGACCTGTGAGGTGGGCTCCCAGGTCTGGGGCCTGGAGCCCCTACAAGATGGGTGATGTCATAAAAAGTTAATATTTGGGCCCGGCTGGTTTTCTCTCTCGTCAGGGGTTGAGCCTCGACCTATGAACCAGGAGGTCAGGGTTCGATCCCCGTCAGGGACAGACCCGGGTGCCGGCTCAATCCCCAGTAGTGCAGGAGGCAGCCGATCCATGATTCTCTCTCATCGTCGATGTTTCTATCCCTCTCCTCCTCTCCCTGCCTCTCTGAAATCAATAAAAACATATTTTAAATTTAAAAGATAATAATACGCCAGCCACCTTCTCCTCGGGGACCTGAGAAGCAACGACCCCGTGAGAGAGAATCTGGAGACCAGGAGGCGGACCCGGGGGTGGGCAGGCGGGCGGGAGGAGCAGGGGCCGGCTCCGTAGGGTGGGTGGGCAGTCCGGCCGGGGTCTAAGGGCCAGAGGGATGCCCACTAGGACTCTTCCGGAAGATCCTACACCGTGCACAGCTCTTACCCACGCTCCGCCGTGAGGAAACACCGGATTAACGCCCACACAGAAGATGGACGGCCCTCCATCCCGGCCTGGCCTTTCCCACACCCCAGGCGACCCCCCAACAGTCCTCAGACACCTGACACCCTGGCCTGCCTTTAAAAACGAGCGCCAGAGGCCGCCCCCTCCCCCCGCCAGTCCGGTGCCAGCGCTCGGAGCCTCAGCGCCGGTGTGGGTTTCCGTGCGATTGCGGGCGATTGCTCGGCCTGGCTCCGTGCCAGCCTGTGGCCGCGGACGGCCACCGTGGGAACCCGCCTCCCGGGAGATCCGATCGCCGCTCCCAGAATAGCAGCCTCAGCTTCCGGCCGGGAGCCCCCATTAGCCTCTGACCCCAGCCATTAGCGAGCATTTATACACAATGGTGAGCGAGAGCCGGGATCCCACCGCGGCCCAGTAACCCAATGCCCCTCGTGTCAGACCCACAGGGTCCGTGTCACCGCGGGAGCATGGGCTGAGGTATCGCGGCCGAAAGCTGGCGGCAGGAGAGCCGGGTGCGGCTCAGAAGCCACCGGACGGACCGACACGCATCGCCTCGCGGAGGCGGGACACGCGTCCGCCCGCCGGGAGCAGAGGGAGCGACGCCAATAACATCCTCACTCGTTAGCGTTTTAACGGGGAATCGATGGTTCTTCCTTAACGGAGACGCAGAGGCGCCTCTGGCCAGTCTGCCTCACCTCGGACGCCTCTCTGGGCCGCGGACGTGGAAACGCATGTCCCACGGAATAGCTATCCGTGGACATGGAAACACGTGTCCCACGGAAGAGCATCCGTGGACGTGGAAACGCGTGTCCCACGGAATAGCTATCCGTGGACATGGAAACACGTGTCCCACGGAAGAGCATCCGTGGACGTGGAAACGCGTGTCCCACGGAATAGCTATCCATGGACATGGAAACACGTGTCCCACGGAAGAGCATCCGTGGACGTGGAAACGCGTGTCCCACGGAATAGCCATCAGTGGACGTGGAAACGCGTGTCCCACGGAATAGCTATCCGTGGACATGGAAACACGTGTCCCACGGAAGAGCATCCGTGGACGTGGAAATGCGTGTCCCACGGAAGAGCATCCCGTGAGGGAGGAAGGGCCCGTGTTCCCAGTCCGCTCCACGACACCCTGAGAGACAGAGCTGTGGGGACGGGAGGGTTCAGCCCAAACAATCAGACCATCAGGTTCCGTTTCTTCTTCTTTTTTCTTTTTTTATGTTTTGTTGATGTCAGAGAGGAGGGGAGAGGGCGAGAGACTGAAACATAAATGGTGAGAGAATCAGCTGCCTCCTGCATGCCCCCCACCAGGGATGGAGCCCGAACCCCGGGCCTGGGCCTGGACCGGAATGAAACACGGGACCCTTCAGTCCGCAGGCCGACGCCCCGCCCACTCAGCCACACTGGCCAGGGCGAGCCTCATATGATTGAGTGCAGACTGCCAGCTGCTGCCATGGTGACCCTCCGCGTACGTGCACCCTCACCAACGCGTGACAGTGCGTGCCTCCAACTGAAGGCGTGGGGTTCGCTTTCCC